AACCAGGCCTAACGAGGCCTAACGTGGCCTTTATCCACGTGCACATCTGACTCACACGTTTGTCTAAACTTAGCCAACATGAATCACCCGCTAACGCTAAGTAACAGCAATCGACTTAAACAGCTGTTAGATTTCACAGCTTTGCAGTTTTTTTTTCTCCTCCAGACAAACTCCTGAAGCTCCATCACGCTGCCTGAAATTAACACCGATATTTATAAAGGCGATAAAGACGAAACTGAGGTGCAGCGTAAAGAGAGGCCGTGAATCTCAACCTTCTCACTCTCACTTTTACCAAAACCAAGCACAAGGAGATTACAGCATCATGCACTTAAGGCTGGAGCACCCGACTCTTCAGTCCATAAAGTTGACTGAAAATAAAACAAAACAAAAGTGCTGCACTTTTGCTTCTAGGTCCTAGGTTTGAATCCAGGACCTGGGACCTAACGTTATTATGTACTGTACATCAATTAAATATGTAAACTATCAAAACTAATGAATTTCATTCTATTTGCTGATGACACTAATATCATATGTTCAGGTAATACCCTGGGGCAACTTTTGGTTTAATCATAATAAACTGTCACAAAAAAAGTGCCTGTATGTGTTGGGATGATGAAAAGAGTAAGTGATTTACTGAACACTTAAGCTTTTTGTTTACTAAATAATTCATTCATAAAGTCTTATTTAAATTATTGTTTAGAAGTCTGGGGAAACTGTTGCGAATGGTTTTGGTTACTTTGCAAAAAAAGGCCTTTAAGATTGATGCCTATAATGGACATTAGATACTAATCTCCACTGTTCATAGAAACTTAAAAGAACTTAAAATTATCAATTAAAATTTAAATAACTCAACTTCCTTATATTGAGTCAAATGTGGCATGTGAATTTCTCCTGTGTGAGATCAATAAAGTATATCTTATCTTTAATGATTTGGGAAGTGTAAAATGGTCATCGTACAATGGCCATCTATGAATCAAACTGGTTTTATACAACAACCAGTGATGGGGGAAAAAAAAAGGAAAAAAAAAATGGCTCCTCTCCATAGGATTATGACAGCCACCGTTTACAAATGGCAAAAACTAGCATGTGTCAATTATTAAAAAATAAAAAAAGCTCTTTATTTGACAGTTTAGGTATTTATATTACAAGGAACAAGAAAAAAACAAAACTTATATACACAGTTAATTATCAACAAACAAACTCCCATTATGCAACAGGGATACTTTTGTGATATTGGAGGTATTGAACTCTAGCCTTAGCATCTGCTGCCCAAGTCCGCCCAGCTCGAATACTTAAACAATTCTTATACTGAAACATCCATAACTAGCCTTTTTTTATTTAAAAATGTACAGTGTATTTTCCGTAGTCGACTGAACAAAAGCCGCTCATAATGCAACGCAGATGAAAGTCCTCGTTTTTAATCGAGTTACATCAGCTTTAAACATTCCACGGCGGGACCTTAAAAAAATAAAAAAGAAGAACATGAAAGAGTTGTGCTAAGAATACACACGCACACACACACACGAGGAGACTGCAAATCGACCATTGTTGTTGCTGGTCCCAAAACTGCAGCCCAGTGTGAAAATTGAATCAAAACTCATTTAATGTGGGGATTGGGGTTCAGCGGCCGTTAATTTGCCTGTAAAACATTTAAATGGATCCACGTTTGAACAAAGAGCAGAGCGGCGCAATGGAGATTATACAGAGCTCTGTGCTTCACCAGAATGTAATCACTGCTGCTTGAGACAGCCACAGTGCACTGCAACAGAACAGGACTGCACATTCACATTATTCCATTATATTTGGGAAGTTTAAGGAGGTTCATTTGACTCAACTGACCAACACACATTTTAACCTTTTCCATACGCCTCTGGATTGCGGCAACATCATACTCTTAAAGTTACATTGTATAAAAGGATTGAAGGCATATCGAACGGTAAAAATATCTTGGGCTTTAGTCAAGCCACGTCCGTCGTAATCATCCAAAGAAAAAAATACATTTTTGAAGACTGACAGTTTCAATATCATTAATGCGGCAATGTTTGACTTCTGCATTTTAATGAAAATCAAATTGCAAAGCAGAATAGGCGTTGTGTGACTACAGGCTCTTTTCAATGAGCCTCCAATGTCTCTAATAAATTAATTGGACTAAATGAAGGTTGGGAACTGTCATATAAACAAAACATTTCAATCACTTCAACTCCCTTTAGCAGTTCTGTGGAGACACTATGATAGGACTTGCATACTTTCCTGTGATTGAATTATCCATCCATCCATTTTCTTCCGCTTTATCCGTTGCCGGGTCGCGGGGGCAGCAGTCTAAGCAGAGACGCCCAGACTTCCCTATCCACACACACTTCCTCCAGCTCGTCCGGGGGGACCCCTAGGCGTTCCCAGGCCAGCTGAGAGACATAGTCCCTCCAGCGTGTCCTAGGTCTTCCGCGGGGCCTCCTCCCGGTGGGACGTGCCCGGAACACCTCCCCAGGGAGGCGTCCAGGAGGCATCCGGAACAGATGCCCGAGCCACCTCAACTGGTTCCTCTCGACGTGGAGAAGCAGCGGCTCTACTCCGAGCTCCTCCCGTGTGACTGAGCTCCTCACCCTATCTCTAAGGGAGCGCCCAGCCACTCTGCGGAGGAAGCTCATTTCGACCGCTTGTATCCGCGATCTCGTTCTTTCGGTCATTACCCAAAGCTCATGACCATAGGTGAGGGAGGGAACGAAGATTGACCGGTAAATCGAGAGCTTTGCCTTTCGGCTCAGCTCCCTCTTTACCACAACGGTCCGATACAGCGACCGCATCACTGCGCACGCTGCACCGATCCGCCTGTCAATCTCACGCTCCATTCTTCCCTCACTCGTGAACAAGACCCCGAGATACTTGAACTCCTCCACTTGAGGAAGGACCTCTCCACCCACCTGAAGAGGGCAGGGCACCTTTTTCCGGTCGAGCACCATGGCCTCAGATTTGGAGGTGCTGATTCTCATCCCAGCCGCTTCACACTCGGCTGCAAACCGTCCCAGTGAATGCTGCAGGTCCTGGTTCGTTGGAGCCAACAGGACAACATCGTCCGCAAACAGCAGAGATGAAATCCTGTGGTCCCCGAACCGGACCCCCTCCGACCCCTGGCTGCGCCTAGATATTCTGTCCATAAATACAGTGAACAGAACCGGTGACAAAGGGCAGCCCTGTCGGAGGCCAACATTCACCGGGAACAGATCTGACTTACTGCCGGCAATGCGAACACAGCTCTGGCTCCGGTCATACAGGGACCGGATGGCCCTCAGCAGAGGACCCCCGACCCCGTACTCCCGGAGAACCCCCCAAAGGACACCCCGGGGAACACAGTCGAACGCCTTCTCCAAATCCACAAAGCACATGTGGACAGGTTGGGCGAACTCCCATGAACCCTCGAGTATCCGATGGAGAGTATAGAGCTGGTCCAGTGTTCCGCGACCGGGACGAAAACCACACTGCTCCTCCTGGATCCGAGATTCGACCATCGGCCGTAGCCTCCTCTCCAGTACCTTGGAGTAGACCTTACCGGGGAGGCTGAGGAGTGTGATCCCACGATAATTGGAACACACCCTCCGGTCCCCCTTCTTATAGAGAGGGACCACCACCCCGGTCTGCCACTCCATTGGCACCGCCCCCGATCGCCACGCGATGTTGCAGAGACGTGTCAGCCAAGACAGTCCTACAACATCCAGAGACTTTAGATAATCAGGGCGGATCTCATCCACACCCGGAGCCTTGCCACCATGGAGGCTACCAACCACCTTGGTGACCTCAGCCAGGGAGATGGATGTATCCGCCCCAGCATCCTCAGCCTCTGCCTCTGAGACAGAGGACGTGACGGGGGGATTGAGGAGAACCTCAAAGTATTCCTTCCACCGCCCGACAATATCCCCCGTTGAGGTCAGCAGCTCTCCACCCGCACCGTACATGGTGTTGGCAAAGAACTGCTTCCCCCTCCTGAGGCGCCGGACGGTTTGCCAGAATTTCTTTGAGGCTGACCAATAGTCATGCTCCATGGACTCTCCGAACTCCTCCCAGTCCCGGGTTTTTGCCTCTGCAACAGCCCGGGCTGCGGCACGCTTGGCCTGCCGGTACTGGACAGCTGCCTCAGGAGTCCCCCGAACCATCATGGCTCGATAGGACTCCTTCTTCAGCCTGACAGCTTCCCTTACTGCCGGTGTCCACCACCGGGTTCGGGGGTTGCCGCCGGGACCAGCACCAGAGACCTTGCGACCACAGCTACGGGCCGCCGCATCGGCGATTGAGGCAGAGAACATGGTCCACTCGGACTCCATGTCCCCCTCCTCCACCGGGACCTGGGAGAAACTCTCCCGGAGGTGTGAGTTGAAAGTCCGTCTGACAGGGGGCTCAGCGAGACGTTCCCAGCAGACCCTCACTATACGCTTGGGTCTGCCAGGTCTGACCGGCTTCTTCCCCTGCCAGCGGATCCAACTCACGACCAGGTGATGATCGGTTGACAGCTCCGCCCCTCTCTTTACCCGAGTGTCCGAGACACGCGGTCGAAGGTCAGATGATACGACAACAAAGTCGATCATCGACCTCCGGCCTAGGGTGATTGAATTATTAAGTCTAAAACCACATGCCTTTTACACTCAATTGGTTGGAATTCATTTTTTTCTATTATCTCCAAACCTCACAATGCAAGTCTTGTACTAAAGTCAGTCCAGCAATGTTAAAAACTAGTCCAAGCGGCTTTGTATTCTGAGTTGACGTGATATTGTGTTGTCTGATATACAGCCAACATCTCCATCCGATCGCTAGAGGGGGAAGCGGTTCTTTTGGGAGGAGGGCATGCGGGCGTTTGCGAATCCCACTGACATTTCAGAGTGCGGGGCAGATGTTAAATTAGCCCATGGTAATAAGGGACCGGCTGATAGCAGAGATACAGCCTGATAATAGAGCCACGTCATGCAGAGGCACACGCACACACAGACCAAACACTTACACTGAGGCGGCTGGCTTTAATGTTTACTGAAAGAGTGGAGAGAAACCCAGTTGAAATGACCTTTATTAGAAATGAAAAAAATTGAAATATCTGCAGGTTTTGAGTTAAGGTGAGCCCAGTCCGTGTAGAGTTTGGATGTTCGTACTGTGAGCCCTGGCTTCAATGTTTGTTACTGGGTCAAAAAGAGACAATACTCCGACAGGGTGTCCTTGAGCAGCTTCACTTTGGCATTCTCAAAATCTCATTTATTGTAAGCAAAATTAAAAACGGCACTATTCCAGATCCTTCTGTGTTTGAACATATATTGGAGTATAAATAAAATGTTGAAAATTTTTGATACTATTGTATTATAAAAACAATGCTGAAAGAACTGTGGATCTACGCGAATTACAAAATTACATCTGCAATTTGAAACAACACTATGTTCAGTTCCTTCAGCGTCTCCATCTCAAAGTTTTAATGCGTGTTACCTCTTTCTGACATATCATCAGTACCATCAGTTATGGGCCACATAAATGGCAGATTTCACTTAAGGAGCTAAACAAGTGATCTACATTGTGTATTCAACAGGTTTAAGACTGAGTAGCAGTGGCTAATTCTGGTCCAGATCCTCTTCACCTTTGGAAGAACAATGAATCTGAATGAATGGCCCAATGAAAACTATCCCAAGAGAATTCCCAAAAATAATAGTTTAGTTTAGACAGAGTCATGGAGCAGTTCTAAAAGCCAATCTGTTTAAAGCTGGTAGAACTAAAAAAAGAAGAAATCTTTTGACATTAGAGTATCAAAGATGTACTGAACGGTGAAGAACCATGGGATTGTTCAAAACACCAGTTTAATGTCTCAGGATTCTCTGTTTTACTTTTCATTTTCAAAATTATGAACCACCTTCAGAAAGAAGGCGACAAAACAAAAAAGGTCCACTGCTAAAGGAAAGTTAATAGTTAATAAGTGCTCTGTATTCAGCCTCCTCCTTCACTCGTGTGTGACTTGAAGAAATAAACAGCCTTTTGGAAAAACAACTTGATTTAAGTGCGCACTGACAATTTGGAATAAACCACTGAAAATTATTCTACATGGTCAAACGTATTTTGTGTGCCATGGCATGCAAGAGTCGAGAAAAAGGGAAAGTCATTTCTATGCAAAGTCAAAGCATTTCAAAGTGTGTACACTGCAGAAAATGAATATCTACATGAATTTAAAAAGGTGCGCCTTCAGAATATTTATGATTTTTGATTTGTAACATTCATGAGTTTCAAATGAGACTTTTCAATGACGTCACCGACTTCTGCATCAATGTGAGGGACAATCCTGATTACAATAATATAAACAAACACTAACAAAACAACACAATACAAATCTGGTTGATTCAATTAAATACTTTAAATGATTATCATAAATACAATAAAGACGCAATAAATATTTTTTTTTGTAATTTCATGATCAAATCAAAATACTCAAATTACATGTTTAAGTTAAATTGGAATTACGTTGTGTGTGATTTTTAAAAACAGATTTTTTTAAAATCACACATAAAACAGTAATTGTTGAACTCTTTCACCACAATAAAATCAAATGTAAACTTTTTAACCATGACATATCTAGTCCGGCCACAGAGATGGCTTTATTCAGAGCACTAAGGTGACAATATGACCAAATACTCTTCACAAATCACTACGTTATGGTGACAGCTTTTTTACATCTGGATAAATACATGTTGAATATTTAAGGGTGTGTACATTTCCTTTGCAATACTGGCTGATTTCAGTACAAATTTTGAAAAACCATCTGTTGAATTAAAATAATTTCTATAAAGTTTCCGTTCTCAGCCATTACCACCAGCCCCTTCTCTTGTTCTAAGTTTCAAGTTAGAACAAGTGACGTTTGGAGAGCCCTGATCTTGTGTAACCTCCGCCTCTTGGCCTCATCGTTGATGGGAATGTTTATGACGTCAACGCATTTCCCATTTCATTCTTTCCCTCGTCATAAATTGTACATGCCTTTATACTGAGATACATATTCATAGTTTGCAGTGTAAAAATGAAGTTTAACCCACTTGTATCCAGAGAGCATCCTCACCCTTTCACTTTGGAGCTCTTTTTGCCCGGCTGCCGTGGCTCCTGAGAGGAGGCGGGGTCTCTGGGCTCGGCAGGCTGATCTGCGTCCTGGTTTGAGGCTCCTCCTGCGGGGGCGGGGCCTGATGAGGGGGAGGCGGCACTGGCCTTTAGCGTCTTCTGCAAGTTGGAGACCTGTGGGACAAAAGCAGAAGTAAAATACCACAAATCGCTCAGAGTGGAACAGTCACATTTACAGCCTCACTGCAGGGGGCGCTGTACTGACCTCGGTTTCCACTTGGACTTTGACCTTAAGCTGGCTCTCTCTGTACTGGTTTGCCCGCGAGACCTGCTCCTCGATGCCACACAGCACGGCCTCACAGCCGGTGCACCTGCAGTCCAAAGAGACTTAGCTTTATCATTCATTTTAGACTGCGGCTGTGGTGAGGGTCATTTGACTCCATTGAAGAAATACTTGTTTACCCAAACAGTAGAGAGTGCTGCATTTTAAATCTTTAAGACGCAAACGCCGTCTTTTCATTGACATCTTTCTCGTAGAAGCTTTGTAATCAGTCTGTCATTTCCACAGGGTTACATTTTATTCTACCCTCTCCATCCATTTAACTTATCACACACTTTAAGGGACATCCAATAAAAATGGGTTGACTGTTCATTTAGTATGTTTTATTTCAACTGTAAATCACTTTTTCTTTCTTATATTAAAAAGGCGATTCATACAGTCAAATAAAGTTTGAGCTACTTAAACAGAGGAGAAATCAGAACTGAACAGATTTCGATTAGGTAATCTCTAACAAAAGTAGAGGGCATCGTGACTGACCACTCCTGCAGGGTGCTGACTATGTTGGGCAGCTCATTAGGCCCCAGGTCTCGGCCCACACTGCAGTCCACCTCCACCTGTTGGTTCCTCTGGTCCAGTTTTCCTTGGATGATGTCACAGTACACGGCATCAATCAGCAGATCCTCCAGCTCACGTACGTTCTTCAGCTCCAGCTGTTGCAGGAGCAGAGAGTATGGCAAGCACTGGGGACAATGACATGATTTCATTAGATAAAACAGTGATAAAGGGTTTGGTACAAGTTCAGCCCAAGGATGTAATATTTATAAGCAAAGTAGCGCCTACCTGTTCTACATGGAGGACATTGACAGGAATGTTCCACAAATAATTGCATCAGATTTTAAAATGGAAAACTTAGCACGTTCAAGTATTAGGACGCTTGTCCCATGATATTGTGTCAGACCGAAACAGTTCTGTAGTGGACACAGGGAACAAAAGCTGCTTCCATAATAGCACTATACATGATTACAAAAAGGCATAACACTTTTTTTCCATTATTATTAAGTCCATTATTTTCAGACTTTTCCCCCCCATTATTTTCGGCTCCCATCAAAAACATGCAGTCGCCTTACCACATACCATACAAACAAGCAGGCCGCATTAAAGTTAATCTCAGTGCCGTCTCATTCTGAGAGATCAATATGACATGAGACTGTTCAGACTCTTGGAATACCCTTCGGAAGTACAATTAAAATAAATGAATAAATAAATAAATAAAGAGCCCTAAAACCTTCACTTTGCCTAAATGTCAGTGAATGTTGCTGGAAGCAGAAATGCACCCGGACCATTCTAGACTGAATAATTAGGGGGCCTGGTCACACAGGTAGGAAGATGACATAAAAAGGGGAGCGCGAGGACTAATGGTGGCCAAAACTCAGATTAATGTTTAAGAAAACTCAGACAGAGCCAGCGAGAATAATGAATCAATTATTTATCTGGAGCGGAGAGCGAAAAGGGCACAGGGAGAGGAGCGACGCAGAGGAAGTGTAAATGAGAAAGAGCAGATTTTAAAAGAACTGAACTTTATGATTAAGAAGCCAGGGGAAAAAGAAAAAAAGGCCAAAAAACAGATAAACAACTTGTAACTTTACCAAAACTATCTTTAACCTACTAGTCTACAGCTAGCTTTTTTCAATTTTATTTTTTCTGGGAATAATGCATTTGTAAAAGGCACTTTAGCTTCTGTCGCTAGAAATTATTTGGGCCATAATTCAGTAATGCCATTTACTAGTACTACACAAGCCAATGGGACAATAATAGATATACAAGTACTTTTAAAAAGTTGGGTGTGCATTGGCTTCCATCTGGTGATACACATGATACATTAGGTCTATGAGACTTTATACTTCCTGGGTACAAGGGCGGAGTTCCATTCTTTCACATGAATGTCCAATATAATGGAGGCATGTTGCTCAGCCAAACAAACCAGACGTTACCTCCAAGGCAGACTATTGACTATAATTTAGTCAATAATGCCATAAACGATGTCAATGGTAGGGATGGAATAGTCCAAGTGTTTAAATGCTCTTCTGTTCTGTACATCTTTGATGGCAACATGTGGTTTGTCAATCTATACAGCTCCATGGGTCAATTGTCATTGTGAATTTGGGAATGCTTTTGACATAACCAATTATCTATTTTTCACAAGATTATAAAGATATCTTTTCCAACACAGAGAGTGAGCAGAGCACCTTGAGGTTAGAAGCCAGGCTGATGATGGACAGGTGTCTCAGCTTGTTCCTCTGCGCTGGAGTCAGCTCTGGCAGTGAGGCCGCCTTCTCTACGGAGACACAGGGGGACCAAAAGTCACAACAGGAAATAAACAAGCATATCAGATCGGAGAGACTGAAGTGTAACCCAAACTAAGTGAAATGCTCAATATAAAAACATCACAATGACATTTAATTGCAACAATTCTGAATGTGCAAGCATGAGGGCAGTCAATGGATCATGGGTGGCCTGTAGATGGAAAAAGGATCCAGTCAAGTTATACTACAACTCCATAGGAAAATTTGTCCTCTGTATTTAACCCATCCTGAAATGCCACTACCTCTGGCAGAAGCCGCAGTCACTGTCGTGCAGTGAGTGACTAGGATTGACTATATCGAACAGTTACATCCATGCATCATTTTACCTTTAGATCATCTCCACATTTATAAGACAGCAACACAGACAGCATTCCAAAAAAGGTATTTTAAAGAGGCTCAGATATGAAATCTATAGTTTCCTTCAAAACTCCCTTAAGCTGCCAATTTTGGTTATACCATCTATTCATCTATAGACATGCTCATTGAAAAGTGAATATTTTCTTAGCTGTGAATTCAGGAGAATAACACAGTGAAGCAGAGTATCGGCCTCCTGGAGCTTTCTTCAGGTCATTGAGAGACGGCTCTACACACTGTCACTGTCTCGTTACAGAGGAGGTGAGCGTGTAAATGTTTAAGCAGACACTTTACAAAGAGGAGTCAGTGTTCCTGTGGCTGACAGCCCCTCGATGGGCTGTGGAAAGTAAAATGTGTTCCCTGTTGGCTTGACTCAGAAAGAAAAAGAGGAAAAATAAAGTAGGCTACACCATTTTTCCAGGCTATTGTGGCAGATATTTGGCATAAAATTAGACTCAATTAGCATTTCCACTTCCAGTTAAAAATCCCAAAGACGTGTTCCAATTCAGTTCCACATCAGACACACAGCATGACGTTTGCAAAAGCCTCAATATTCTTGGGATTCACTTAAGTCCAGGGCCAAAAATGTTTTCCCTATCTCTAAATGAAAGTTTTTACAATAAAAATAAAAACCACTGCAATAGGAAACCTTTAATTAAGCATTGTACCATAATAACTGTGTGTGATGGCTTCCATTATGGGAAACAAAAATAATGAAAGTGACAAATCAGTTTTTCACATGACTAATTGATCATTGATTACATTAATATAGAAAGATATTGTCATTTTAATATTTGGTATGGGGAAAATTGCTAGTTCTCAGATTGTATTAATACATCCACAAACAATCAAAAATATCAGAAAGGACTGCAAATCAAGGCTTGGTTCAAATAGTTGAGTCAATAAGCAGTGCCTGAAAAGTAAAGGTAAACTGGTAATGTCAACCATCATCGTCCCAACTAAGTATTTGATATTTGGCTGAATTGGCAAAGTAAGCTTACATTTTCAAACACATTAGACACGGCCTGAGTTCTGACACACAGCAAGAGTTAGAAGTGTGCCCTCTTTTTGCGGTCACTTTGCTGATATAACCGCATAAAGAAACGTTCCTCTAGTGCCCGTACCTGAACATTAGCTGCCATTGTGTCAAACCATTTAAGAGTTGTGGCAGTGGGAGGGGGGGGTCCATAAAGAAAAGCTTTGGAGCGTTGCCCTATTACTTATTTAGACAGCGCTGCCTCTGAAATACAGTCTACCTTTATAGTCACAGTAGGTTCCATAGGCGAAGAGGTGAAGGAGGTGATAGACCGGAGCGTGAGGGCCGTTCTCCAGCTGCAAGATGAGAGGCATAGAACAAATATATAAACGAGTAGATTACCTAGTTACTAAATTGATTATTTAAAACACATATGAAAAGAACAATTTTATATGTGTACATACATTACACATTTACTTCATAATTGGGATTTTTAAGGCCGCTTTTAATTTTGGTACAAAGTTAACAAGTTGCAGTAAGTAAGTTAGTAAGTTTTTTTATTTATATACCGCCTTTTCACTGCAGATCTGAGTCTCAAAGCGGTTTACAATTGTTAATTTTGGGCAATTGTCTCTCACTCCACACAGAGATGGGAGCGGGGTCGCCAGTACAGGAGGCGCATGCTAGAACTATTGGACATATTTTTAGTGGTAGGGGAAACCGGAGTACCCGGAGGAAACCTACGCAGACACGGGGAGAACATGCAAACTCCACTCAGAAAGGCCCTGGTCCGACCGGGATTCGAACCCAGGACCTTCTTGCTGAGAGGCCAGAGTGCTATCCACTCAGCCACCGTGCCGCCCAGGAGTTGCCCATCCTGTGTTCCATCTCTAAAATGTACTGACCCCCTGCTCCAAGACTAATCTTTCTCAGAGGGATGAATGAATAAATTAAAACTGAAAGTAATTGATTAAAAAAAAGGTAAACTGCCTAAATAAATATAATAATACATCACAAGTCATTCCTTTTGTCAAAAAAAATCTTCAGGAAAAAGTAAAAGGGCTGCTGTTTTAGTGATTAAAGAGTAAAAGCGCTGGCGACGCTGAAATCATACAACTGCCCCCCCCATATAGACACACTGTTGAGTAGGGTCCTCTTTTTTTCATAATTTGATATTGATTTCAACTTGTTTGATCAATAAATCATGATTCACAAAACTCGAGATTGCAATTTATCTTTGGAATTTTAGCACAGCTCCAAGTCACACATAACATGTTTTTTCCTCAGCTCTCCCATGTTTTAATTAACACTAAAATACTGGGCTTACAAAACACACGCTGGTCTCAAATCTGACACAAGCAGCGCACCAATTATTTTGAATTTTTTCAACAGTTGTTGATTGGAATAAGTTGTGATTTTAGATATTTAGTTTCCCCTTTTGTGGAATGTAGGTGAATTAGGCAAGAACATAGAGTATTGTTATGTTAACCTTTTGGTGGTATTTGTGGTATTGGACATCTAAGAACTGAAGTAAAAAAATAATATAAAATATAAATAAAGAACCAACTTTCGATTAAGAATGATTGATACTAATTATTATAACGCGACAGTGGCTCAGTTGCAGTTAAAAACCATAATATTTGAGCATCCGAAATTAAAATCAAACTCCTATGATCTGTAAATCTTGTTAGTGTTCTTAATGTTAAACTTTCCATTTATCAACTGTATACATTGTTCTTAAAATCAGCCCTACATGGAGCCATTAGCCCCGTCCAAATTCTCACCCTAGCCCTTAATTTGTACCCTTTTTTTGCGAATGCCCGCGGGGGTTGTAGGGTTTCCCAATACTTAGGTTGCATCGTGATCCGCGGCTATACCGTCCCCTAGATCCATGGAGGTCCCAATTCTTAGGGAGAATATCAATGAGTGCACTCTCCTATTGGAGGGAACTTTCTGTTGAGGGCACTCCTAACTAAAGTGCCCGCAGAATTGGGACAGGCCATCAATTATAAGCAGCACCTCTCGGACGTTGGGCAGCTCCAGAATATCAGAGAAAACGTAGAGTCCTGGCGTCTCAAGCAGAGAGCTGACGGCCTGAGCCAGAGCCGAGCCGGACAGAGACAGCAGCTGCTCCACCTCCATCTGAAACCCACAAACACATTACTATTTGACCTCTTCTTGCATACAATAAAACTTATGAAGTTTTGAGTCCAAGGTACTCAACATGGAGATGCTTTTGTCATTTGCCCATAAATAGAATTTAAATTGTCAGTGGACTATAAACAAGACGCAAGTGACTGCTTGTGACTACGCAAGTGACTAGGCTCAGGCTGAGACACACACTAAGCTTGACAGCTGAACCTAAGCCACAGAATTATCTCAATAGTAGTGGCTGTCAACTGATGTAATGTAATTTTAAACCACTAGATGTCAACAAAACACTCCAGGACGTGTGAGACTTGAACGCTTTAAACCAAAAGGCGCAGAGACCTACTTCAGACTTTACTAAGCAACGTCACTTTGCACTCAAGAGCCAATGGAGAGGCCAGGCACCAAATTTAAATGTAGTGCCACCAAGAATGTAGAGAGAGCGCCACACAGACAGTTTCAGGCACAAAAGTGAGATTTTATCCAATTTGCACGAAAATGTCAAAAAATTGACAACAAGTAGAGGGCACCATAATAAACATGTATACAGTTTATGATAAGTTACAAAAAAAAGGCTATGGCGTCATTTGTCCTTTAAAGCTGCACTAACTGACTTTGGGCTTTTGAAGCCGTGGACTCACTGGCCTCTCTCTTTCTGCTCCCCTCCCCGCACCCACGAAGCTATCGCCCCCCTCACACACACACTGTTGGGATGGAGCTAGTGTCTCCCAATATGGATAATACATGAATATGGATTTGCACGTGGATGGCGTGACCATAAAACGATAGAACCGGGAAGCGCGGAGGAACGGGACTTTCTTTTGGATGGCTGTCTCGCTGTGTAAGCAGTAACCGGTGATGAAGACACGAAGCTTCAGGTTAGCTCCTCGGCTTGTTGTGCTAACTCAGCTGTCTATGCTAACGGACCTGTAGATTTCTCACGAAAGTGGGGGCCAGTGGTCCGTTGTGATTGGTCACAATCTGCGACCCGAAACACATTCTCTTCCTTGTTTCATCAAAACTCAATCTAAAATATAATGTCACGCCAGCACAAATCTGCGCTACTTTTTCTTCAAAAGGACGTATATCCCAATGCACGACATGGACATGGATAGCATTTTTGTAATGAATACGAAAATAAAGTCAGTTAGTGCAGCTTTAAGGAACTGATAAGAGATACTAGAGAGAGCTAACCCTAGGGCCTAGCCTAATATTGCAGACATTTTAAAACAACAGAAACTCATAAACAAGTATAATAATGCTGGTGAATCAATAGCTGAACTTCTAAGACAAGACTGAAAATGATATATACACTGTAGACGTATACTTAATGTAAACAAAGTGCACAAATCAGCATTAAAAACATAATGGCATCAGACAGACTACAGATTGTCTAAAGCACTTCTGCTCATGTGGACAAGCTCCAGCTACAAACAGGAATAGAAACAAGTGAAACAACCTCAATAATGCATAAAAAGTTATTTAAAATAAATTAATCAAGCGTTCTAAAGCCGTAGACAATTTCCTCCTAGGAAGGTGGTAATATCAGCGTCAAATAATTTTCCATTTACGTGGAGTGGCGTTTGAATGTTCACTTTGTGTCAGATTAGGCTTTTCGGAGCTCTGGGGCCGTATTCCTAAAGATTCTTAGTGCTAAAAGTTGCTCCTAGTGGCCAAATTCTAAGAATTTTCTTAGAATCTTGACCAACTCTTAGAATTTCCCCTAAAAGTGAGGAGTAGCTCCTAGTTAAGATAAAAGCTATTCCTAAAAAATCCTAGCTCTTAAGAGTGCTCTTAAGGGGAGATCCCTTAAGAGTTGAGAGGAGGACTTTTAGCGACTTAAAAGTTCCCTAAGAGCACAAAATGGTGGACGGTGGAGACAGGAGAAATATTCTATACACTGGATGACAGTGAATCAGTGAAACGCTACAGATTCAAGCAGGAATCATGTTTGTGGTATATTTAAAAGTCAATCATGTGACCAGCTTCTCATTGGCTGGTCAGCAATAACACCTCATCCATTTTACCTTTGTTACACAAAAGTAAGTAGAAATGGTAAAAGTTGAAAGAGAGGAAAAAGTGGTCCTAAATTGTCACACATTCAGTACGAATGAATGAATACTTTATTTTGAGCCATGGCAAACAAGAAAAAAAAGGACAAAACAAACAAAACAACAACAGAATAGAAGTACAAATATACAGTTTTGTTTTATTAACAACAATCCAGCTCAAAAAGGAGTGGGAGAGGATAAGACTTTTAAGCTCCCTTGTACTTGATTTGTACAGTGTATGTATAATATGTTTATATTAATATTGTTTCCTTAATTCCTTATAAGTCTATACATATCACAGCCTTTACTAATCCTAACGTTATCATTATCATCATTTATCCATATAATATTTATAATAATAATTTTCTTTATCATGTATATTATATATAGAGTAATATTTAAATTATATGTATATATATATATATATATATAAAATTATAAGTGCTCATGATATATACGTATTATGTGTGATAAATTGGTGCTGAGCAAGCTCTGATGATGTGGTGTAAAAGTCTAACTTTACTATTCACAGTATTTATGTACCATTGATATATCTGACTTTATAGCTTTTGGTTATTATTTACAATAACACAGTGTTCCTAAGATTAGATTCCATGATTGAGTTTGTCCATTTTAGGGCCCTTATTTTGCCTATTATCATCAAAAATATGTTTGTTCTAACTTTTAGGATCAACCAATCACAGCGTCTGAAATGATGACTCATACCTGGCAACGGGGTCGGCCACGCCTCCTCACTAAGATAAAAGTTGTTGTCAATTCCTTGCTCAGAGTTCTCTAAGAGTGTTCTGGAATAACTTTTAAGCTAAGACTCCTAGCTAGGAGTTTTTAGGTTAAGATAAGAGCTCTCTGAGAGGACTCTCAGAATCTTTAGGAATACGGCCCCTGGTGTCTATTCTATCATCAAATATTAAGTACATTAGGCTTGTCCATGCTGAGCTCAGAACTTCCCTGAAAAAGATTCTGTATATCAGTGGGATGATTGTGTGTAAATAAAGGTTAATAAAGTGAGTCACAAAATATGAACCTTGTAAGAACTCACCAATTCAACATCCTTGAAGAATTTTTATTAACATGAAAACCAAATCTAAATTTGTGCATTGTTTACAAGCGAACAATTATCAGACATTTCACAGAACAGTGAAGAATGCAAGGTAAGTATTTTATATCAAACCCAAAACCCTCAAGGTAAATAAACTGTTCAAATACAAACGTTTATTGACCTTACCCAAAAACGTGTGTCGTCGTAGTTTCAGAGGCAGTAGGAGTAGTCCTGATGTATGTAATAAGTTTAATGAATTGGAAGTAGCCTAGTAGGGCATGTATATTCATAAAAGCTCATTACCAGTGGAGGGAAACTGTTGCTGGGGGCAACACTGGAATAATTACCAACGTAGACATGAGGCTGCTTACAACTATAATTTAGTCAAGGATATAGTGGTTTGATTAAGGGATGCGAATAACTGAATTATCATCCAAACTAGATACTTGAAATACAGTACATTAATTTGTGAACCCTGACAACTACTCAAACACAAGCAGACTTACACATTTACACACTGTTATTGTAAATGTAAAAAATAAAATACAGCAGTGTGCATAGGCAAAAAAGGATTATGTTAAGTGACAATAATCTAAATGCAATATTTAGGGAGAGGAACTCTATTGATTCAGACACAACTAAGTTCAGTTTAAATTACAGTCTGGTCTTCACATCTCTGAGCGCAACATCACTCTCCGACTTTTTTCCAAAGGATAGAAGTTGCCGAAACTGCAAGGAATTTTGCATATTTAGAGGGGAGGGTTTAGACGATTAGGCTGCAGACACCAGTGCAAACTCCCCAAAGAGTCCACCAATTATAAGTGAGCAGATGAGACTGCATTTGGTGCAGACAAACAATTAACACGCACCTGTTCAGGTCAAACTGTCTAATGGCTAGATAAACCAAAATAACAAATAAGTGTATTTTAAAATCAAAGTTTGTGCTAATGCCTATTCAGACACTTTTTATTCAGTAAGTTTTGAGTCCCAGTTTCATGAAGTAGCTCTGAAACTACTGCCCATCTGCCCCAGTTGGGAGTTATCCAGTATTAAGGAAGAAATCAACAACATGTCAGTCAGTCAGAGCCAATTCATCCTCAAATGTTCAGTTTTTAACTTAAGTCTCTGATTTGCTGTGGTGAGAGCAAGTCAGGTCGTGTATCCACATCAGTTACTACACTTGGGGTCTGGATTCAGAGTTTCGTTTATTAAATCCCTGGATTAGGCCAATATTTCCACCAAATCCAATTTCTCTTGATACTGTACTGTAAAGAAATGTGCAGATCAGCTGTTGATGTCAGATCAGGACATCCCTACTTTGGACCTCTTCCTGACTTCTATGCTGGGCTCCTTTGACTTCTTAAGGACCAATAAACTAAAAGCATAGCCCTGTAATTATACTGGTAATTTACAAACAAGTAGGCTCTAGCCCTGTGCAGTTGTTAGGGAATTTTCAATATGTGCTTCAGTCCTTTATTTAAAAAAAAAAAACATTACCATTGCTGCCTTCAGTTACTTAGTTGTGGTCTTGTTGTTTTGTCTCTTCAAGACAACAACAAAAGTTGTAGAGATGACAAGGTGCCAAGGGTAATGTTAAATGAATATTATTGTAGGCCACTACACATGAGGATAAAAGATGAAGTCATTTTAGAATAATATTGCACCATAAACTGTCCATCTTTTTGTTCTTCAAAGTGTGAGAAACAGTCAAAGCATCAATTTGTGCTCAACTCCAGCCTGCATTTGCTCGTGCACAAAGAACTAACTCAAATACATAATAAAAGCGTACAAGGCTGGAAGATGAAAAACAAATGTAATTGGATATGACAGAAGTGAGCAGCAGCTGTACATCAGATAGATGACGAGGAATGAACAAACTCTCACCTCAATGATATCTCTCCTATCCATCTTTTCTGCCGTCAAAGAAACTTGATCTAATTACAATAAAGGAACTTGTGAGGGATTCATTAAAACAACATGTTGTGAACTTTATGGTAATGAAAGCCTTAAGAAATATCTAAAACCAATTTAAAATACAGCCCAGGTAGTGCCATGAGTTTTTTAATGGCATGTGTTTTTGATTACTATTCTTATTAGTTAACAAGCTAGCTACATCATTTCATTAAATCTATCAAGTTGTGATTGATTAACTTATACCATCCTCCTCTTAACCCCACGCATATCAGGAGGAGAGGGATACTAAATTATAATGTGCAATAATTCTCCAGTAATAGAAAGTGGTTAATTTTCTTTTCTTCAAATGATTATGATAAAGCATCCACGTAATGACATTGTAATAGATTAGGGCTATAACAAACGTAATAGCAACACAATGGGTAGAGTATATTGAGATTTAATGACAAATTATCAATAATATCCTTTTGCATCCATGTTTAACAAAGTCCGTGCAACAATGACAGATAACACAATAAGAACCCGTGTAAAAGAAAGCAATAGCTTGAATTGTTGTAAAGCAGCTAACCTAGCTTGTAGCGCAAAACAAAACAAGTCTCGTTAAAACAAACATGATGAAGCTGATTCCATGCTAGTAGCTACCTTTCAAAGTGACAAATCTTGCAGTGACTTTTCATCGGAAAGAATTTAACTTTAATTTAATTGAAGTCTGGATGCCTAGTTTCCTTATTAAACAACCTGTGCTTGCGATGAGTGTTTCCTCAATCTGTAAACATAGATGTAGCATGTTCTAGCTAACAAGCAGCTAGCATACACAGTAACTAGCTTAGCTCAAGGCCTCGTTTTCTGTTCATGACATTTTCAACGTTTTAATAATAATAATTACTTTAACCAGCTCCGGAATAAAGCAAGATCACAAAAAACGTCAAACAGCGTTCAAAGGAAGTCTCGGGTTGAATAAATTACCTTGTGATGCCTGGGTTTAGCCGTTAGCTTCAGCCCGTGTTGCCCGGTTCTACAAAGCCCAACAGACAACGCAGTAACGCGTCTTCTTATTGGACAGTTCACTGACGATAGCGATGACGGTGTTTTCCAGGGATTTTTGTAAATAATTCTCCGGGATTTGGTTGCTTATTATTAATGAACTGAAATGCCAGGCTGTCTTTTAGCTGGCTCCTTGATGTGGAGGAGTAGCGGATTTAACTCTGAGCTCAAAGTGCATCTTGTACTTTGCCTTTTGTTGCAAATCGCTCCAGTGTATGGAGATTCTGGTTGTATGAAGCCAACTGAACAACCTTTTGACAACCTCAAACACCACAGAGTAAGATTTCAGTGAGGGTTTCATGTCTAATGCATCATCAATCAAAACTTGTACAATGCATTTATTTACAGAATAAAATAATCCCCTCACTACTCCACAAGAAGAATTTGGTCAAAACAGAAAAAAACACCTCAAAATCCAATCGATAAAAAAAAATGTTTTGATATTTGTTCATCCATAATGTCAAATTTTAATAGTCTACTATTATGATTTAAATGTGTTTGTAGTGAGCTTGTACAACATTATTAATTAAAGCAGGATTCTAACTGAAAACTGTCCCTCTTGTTGCTTAGTAACAGCAAGTCTAAAGTCGAGCTGATTGTGGCTCTATGCCCTTATTGAAATTCAGGATTGGACTAAATCAACAGGTACTGTCCTTGTGTTTAATTGAATTTGAACAATTATAGCCTTCAGAGAGACAGATAAAACATGTTAATTTATCAATTTCTCTAGGCTCTAAATAAATTGCTGGGTTGTTAGTTTGGAACGTTAGTCAGAATTTTCAGAATTATATATACAGTATATAAAATGTATATATGCATATATATACAATATATAGGTGAGAATTTTAGTTATCTGTATATATAACTAAAATTCTCACCTTTCGCCCCACCACGGACGGTTATCCCTCTCTAAGCACTGGTCCTCTAACAGATTCCTGGGAGCTTGAGGGTTCTGCGAAGAATCTTTGCTGTTTCTAGCACAGCACATACAATATCTGGATCGAGATTTCCGAGGTCACTGTTACCAGCTTCGGGGTTACTTCCCCGAGTGCACCGATGACCGCGGGCACTACCGTCACCTCCAGGCCCTCTCCAGCTCCTGAGCACTTGGTATTCCTCAAGGGTTTCGTGTTCTTTTTTGCCTGATGTTACCATCACTTGGAATTGCCACTTCCACCACCACGGCTTTCTTCTACCCTTTGTCTACCACCACAATGTTAGTATTAGCATTACCATTCGGTCGGTCTGTATCTGGAAGTCCCACAGGATCTTCAGCTCATTCTCCACCACCTTTGGAGGAGTTTCCCACTTAGACCTCTGGGTTTCCAGCCCATACTCTGCACAGATGTTTCTGTACACTATGCCAGCCACTTGGTTATGGCGTTCCATGTAGGCCTTCCCTGCAGCATCTTGCACCTTACAGTTATGTGTTGGATTGTCTCAGGTCCTCCTTTGTACAACCAACACCTTGGGTCTTGTCTGGTGTGGAATATCTGGGCCTCTAGGCTATGGGCTATGCTAAAAATAATAAAATACTTGACTTTTTGTTCCACAAGCAATTTAAATGTTACATTATAAGCTATAAATATCACGAGCTTTGTTGTGAGATCAGTAGAGATACATTTTCAATTTTTGTTCTCCATAAATAAAGAAAGTGTCTATTATTTCACAAATTCACCTAACCACAAATTCAAGGACGTGAACATCATCTATTATTTTTCCTTTGTGATTACTCACAAGCAAGAAACAGTATGCCATCTGTCGAGACACCTGCACCTGTGGTTAATGAGAAAATAATAAACTCAAAACTGTTTGCCTGCGCTCTTCTATTCCTCTCTTTCTCTTATATGTGTTTTCTATTTGTCCATCATTTGCCTTCCCACCAACTTTGTAGACGCGGTGTTATCATGACAGAGTGTCCAGAGGAGTGGGTGAATATATGAGCTACCCCCATAATGTCCTCCTCTCACTAGGAGCTAATGTTGTAGCCATCTGCAGTCAGTGGATCCCGGCTGCTGAGGTTTTATAGCTCCACTTGCTGGAATAATCAAGTTTGAATGAGCTCCCTGCGGCTTCTGGAAATTATCATTTACAATAACAACCTGTGGGAGATTCACTGGCCGATATTTCTTCTGATTATTCATGCAGGTCTATCATTTCAACAGAAAGTTATAAAAAATAAGGTTGTTTCTAGTCAATGAGTCAAAAACAAAAGTGTTTTCCCTTCAATAAATTCCATACAAAAATAAAATAGTGAGACAATACTGGCTTCAATACAACTCTATAGAAAAATCAAGGGACTGAATGTAGTTTACACACGTATACATTTTGTCCCAACATGGTTTACATCTTTTTAGAACACATGTAATCTTTTGCATGTACTTTTTAAAATGTATTTATTTTTATTTAAGTAACAGAACAAACACACTTACATACACCGGTCCAGGAGATAAGAATCAACAAAAATGACACTGTCATGGTGTGGATTTTGTTATTTTGGACTTTGGTTTTATTTTGACATCTGTTCTCTGTGATTTGGTTTTAGTTTGACTGTCCTGTTTTCCCCTGTCTTGATTGTCTGCCCCGCCCTGATGTGTTTCACCTGTGTCTGTGTCTATATGTACCCTGTGCTTCTCTCCTCTTGTTGCTGGTCCATTGTCTTGTCAACATTTGTTCTGTCCTGTTCCTGGTGATGTGGTCCCTGTGCTTTTGAGTTTGTTTTCTCCTGCACTTTAATTTTTTCGTCATTAAATTCCTTTTATTTTGGCATTCCTGCATTTTGGGTCCTCATTCAAATCACCACGTGACAGACACTATACATTCAACAAAATGTGAAAAGCTCCTTTAACATAGACAATTATAGTGAACTTTTCTTGAAGTTCCATTCCATCTTCTTCCGCTTCATCCTTTACAGGTGTAGCAGGCCAGTTTAACCCCCCCACCAGAATATACACGGGTATAAAGTAGCCTAGGTCAGATTATACCCCGGGTATAAAATGGCCTAGGTCAGAATATACCCCAGGGTATAAACTGGCCTACCCGCCCAGTCCTCTCTGCACCAAACCACCACGGATCCCTCTGTGGGTGGTGGGTCCACAGGAGGGCGTGCCCACGTCGTCGCTTCGGGCTGAGCCCGGCCCCGTGGGCTAAGGCCTGGTCACCAGACGCTCTCTTTTGAGCCCCAACCCCAGGCCTGGCTCCAGGGTGGGGCGCCGGCTGCGCCATACCTGACGACGTCACGGTTGTCTTTGTTGTGCTATCCATGGTTGGCTTCAGGCTGCGCTTTGTCTGACTTGTCACCCAAGACCTGTTTGCCATGGAAGGCATGAAGCTCCCAGGATCATCCGAGTACTCAAAATCCCTTACCACGTTAAGGTGGGAGTTCAGGGGGAGGCTGATCTTGAAGTGGCATTTGCAATATAAAAGCGACAAGTCTAGAAAATTCTTTGTTTATTATTCACTTAACCCATGTTATTGGGTATACGTAAATTATTTGGCCAGATGTTATTAATCTACAGCCTCAGTTTCATCATCAATCGCCTCTGTAGGGTTTCCATGTTTCTCCCCGTGCCTATATACAGTGTTTGGTTCCTCTGGGTGCTCCGGTTTCCTACTCTGTATCAGTCAAAAATCCACTGGAGGAATACTAACTTTTGAAAAATGCTAATGAAGCTTTCAGCCTTTTACTTCGGACTAGAGCAGAGAAAATGGTCCGAACCAAGCGGCTACTCCACCTTGTGACCTGTCCTGCTCCCCCCAGAGACTTCACCACCTCTGCTGCTGTGACCTGAAGTGTTGATAAGATAGACTTTATTGATCTCACACAGGAGAAATGTACATGTCACATCTGGCATGGATAGAATCACTCAGATTGTGCAAAAGAAAGAAATGTGCAAACATACTAAATGCAGAATATACTACTGTATGTACAATAAAAAGTGGCAATTAAAAAGTGGCAAACTAAAGAAACAGTGGCAATAGTGGTGCAGGTGTTTTAGTCCTAGTGCAGTGGGGATAAAGGCCCTGCAGTAGCGCACTGTGGGTGCCTCAGTCTTCCACTGAGAGAGCTCCTCAGCTCCTCTACAGTCCTGTGCAGTGGGTGGGAGGTGTTGTCCATGATGGAGGTGACTTTGACTAGCACCTTCCTGTCCCTCACCACCTCCACAGAGTCCAGGGGGCAGCCCAGAGTGGAGCTGGCCCTCCTGACGAGCTTGTTGAGTCTACTCCTGTCCCGCTCTGTGCTGCCCGGGGCCCAGTACACGGCAGCGTAGTATATGGCAGAGGCTACCACAAAATCCTTAGCAGAGGCCTGCTCACTCCGAAGGACCGCAGCCTCCTCAGAAGGAAGAGGCGACTTTGGCCCTTCTTGTACAGGGCATTGGTGTTATGGGACCAGTCCAGTTCATTGATAATGTGAACACAGGTACTTGAAGCTGTCCACCAGCTCAATGTCCTCCCCCTGGATGTTCAACAGCGTGTGGGAAAGTTGTTGTTCTCCTGAAGTCGATGATCATCTCTTTGGTCTTACTGGTGTTAAAGCACAAGTGGTTGCGCTCACACCAGTCGACAAAGTCTGTGATAACCGACCGATATTCCAGTTCGTTCCCCTCAGACACACAGCCCACGATGGCGGAGTCGTCTGAGAACTTCTGCAAGTGACAGCTGTGTGTGTCGTGTGTGAAGTCTGAAGTGTAGATGGTGAAGAGAAACGGTGAGAGGACAGTGCCCTGAGGGGCCCCAGTGCTGCAGACTACCACCTCAGACTCACAGCTGCGCAGCCGCACGTACTGTGGTCGGTCCGAGAGGTAGTCGATGGTCCATGCAGGGACTGTCCACTCCCGCGTCCTCCATCTTCCCCCGCAGCAGTGCCGGTCTGATGGTGTTGAAAGCACTGGAGAAGTAAAAAAATATGACCCTCACAGCGCTCCCGGCGGGCTCCAGGTCGGAGAGCGTCCGCTGCAGTAAGTAGAT